CATCTGCCATCAGACTCCACAATGCCACAGCTCCCAGTTCCTCAAACCCCAGCAGATAAAGACTGCTTTAACTTACAACCTCCGACGCACTAACTATTATCTTTAAATGCACATGTACAGTTTGGTTGTTTGTTTTTTTAGTTCTACGATGCTTAAGATATTTTGCACAACATTTTATTGCACATTGCATATAGTATATATATTTTTCTATATAGTCTTATATTTTTTATTATATCTGATAATATTCTTATTTTGTGATTCTATATTGTACTTTGCACTACATTCCCCTATGCTGCTGTGTCTGACTTGAATTTCTCCTACGTGGGATCGATAAGGGAACATCTACAACCACAGGGGGTGCTGAATTTTTGTTGTCACATTTCAATAAAAAAAAAAATCAACTATGTGTGATGTTTTATTCATCCTAGTAGGACAATCCATCCTCTGTATCCTAACCATTTAGGATGTAATCAAAGTAACTCTAGCTCTGAAGCTAGTGCCTTGTTCAGCGGTAATGGCAGGAGAGGTGGGAGAAAGCAGGGAGAAAACCCATGCAAACACACATGCAAAACATAAAGAAATGAGCAACTAAGCTATGAAACAACTAGGCTGTAGAAAATCAAACCTACAACCTTGTTTCTGAAAATACTGTTTACCACTTCATTTTCATGCTTATAGCCATAGTGTTAACCCTAGTTTCTCCTACACACTTGGAACAGGAGGGTGAGGCGAAGTTGTTGCAATCAGCAACTATACTGCTAGATGCCACTAAATCCTACACACTGGACCTTTAAATTCCATGTTTGCTAGCCTGCTGTCTTCTTCTCCCCTGCCTTTGCAAGCACATTGTTACATTCCTTAGTGCTTTTCAGCCACAATCAGTGGAACAGCGTGCTAGTGCGTGTTCCTAAACAATTGTAAAACAAAATAAATGTTTTGCTACTTTCAGTAGTAGTAGTATTATAATAATTAATATATGTAACAGAAAATATAATTCAGCAGTCACCCAATATACAATTATACTTGTTTTGTAACAAAAATAATTTCCCCCTGGGATTATTAAAGTATTTCTGATTCTGATTAAATTGTACTTATATTACTTTATTGTTGGTGTAAGGTCATACCTTAATGAAGGACAATAGGTCTGTGTAGGGGAGACTTGGACTCTTGACCTTTGTATTTTTGGGTGAACTCTACTTTTGACTAAAGTCAAAACTCCTGCCTCCATAATTATTACTTTTGTTTTCCTATTGTCTCCTGGGTTTTCTTTTCCAGCAAAAAGAGCCTGTCAAAGCGGTGCCTTTTTACAGCCGAGTTGGAAATCTCAGATGTCAGAGATTTCCTCAAAAGCACATGAACACAGCTAAATAATAACCTATTTTTGGCTTTTTGTTTAATTTGTCATTTCAAAAGCTATAGTATATTTGCCTTTCATGTGAAAAAATATAATTATTAATAAATATTAATAATAATTTCAATTTGAAAAAGATTGATCAAAACCTGACCGATGTCATTTTAAATCTGAAACATAAAGTAGCTGAGAACAGTCCAGGCACAGTCCTTCCCTTTCCAGACTCCAACACACCATCACTAAATCATTACATCATCCTCTTCTCACACACCACCAGCCAAGACATGAACTCATACTGCCACCAAGTGTGAGATTCAGATACTCCTACCCACCGACAGCATGCTGGTCTGAGTCCAGCTGCTCTTCTTCTTTCTTAGGTGAGGGCCCAGCAGCAGAACTGTATGACCTCTGACCTCCCCCCAGGCTCAGGTGGCTCTCCCACCCCGAGCGGATGACCTCCTTGTCTGCGGTGCTCCACAGCAGGGAGTCGGGGTGCTTCTGTCGGATGTGCCTCTTGATGGTGCTGAGCTTCAGGGTGGCCAGCGAGCTGCCGCACACCATGCAGATCATCCCGTGCCGCTGGGGGTCAAAGTCCATCAGGTACTCGCTGCGCCAGTACTCATGGTAATAGCGACGGTGGTCACGGCCAGGGATGCGGCTCAGGCCGGGACGCGAGGCCCTCTGGACCCTGGGTTTACGTCCGGAGGGTCCAGGGGCTGGGGAGAGGAGGAGCGGGTGGTCCGGGCCCTCTGTGATGCTCCAGTAGCTGGTGCCTGGAGACCTGACAGGTGTGACCATGCCGGCCTCTGATTCCTCCTCACCGTGGCCATTGGCGAGGCCGTCCTCCTCTGACAGGAACAAGAGACAAAGTGATCAATCCTGATCAATTTATAGCCACTAAAATCTTAAAGACGCATGTAAATATCTGATTAGGGACCACCCATCCTATTTATTATCAACACCAACTCCAAAACAATATGGAGGACCAATCTGAAACAGTACTTTTCTTTTTCAGTCTAAAAATCTGTAAATGTCTCTGTGTGCATCTGATTGAAACTAAGTAACACAACACTGGAAGTGCGCATCACTTCTTAGCTTCTGTCAGCGGCAGATCTAGAGAACCATGAGGTGTCTAGAGGGTGGCAGAAATATCTGCTGATTTATTCACAAACAATCACATATATCAACATTTGCTTGGAAAAGATATTTGAAATCAAAAACATTATTGTGGCATAGAAATGTCTAAAGGTGGAATTAGAAATCAGTACATTGTTTTATTTTGAAATGTTTGAAAAATTGTTCTTTGAACTTAAGTCTATCACTGAGTCTAAAATATGGCCATAACACATCATTACATTCATTTCTGTTTTTTAATATGTTATTTCTTAAATGAATGTAAATTAAAGTGGTAAATGTGACACCAAACTGGGGTGGCCAGGCATTTTTTAGCCACCCCTCTAGATCCACCCCTGCCTAATGTATATGTAAACATTCTTATTTTGTTTGTTAAAATTAGTGATGACAATGACTAAGACACTGCATCTAATGTGGAACTGTCTGATCCGCTCAATAAGGTGCAAGTATATTACATATTTTCTACCCTGATACAGTACATATAGCAACTTATCATAAAAGATTATAGTTCTCTAACACATCGCTCTAAAGCAATTCTGTCAATATATTTATCTACAAAATATAGCAACTTCTGATTATCAGTAACAATGTCTGGCCCCGCCCACTGCAAGTACAGGTATGAATCATACAGATCATTTAGTTGGCTGATTAGATACAGATAACAGTGTACCTGCTCATCCCTACTATAAATTAGAGCCTGACCAATAAACAGTATTGGTATATAGATTACATTACATTACCTGTATGTAGGCTGATGGGTGAGCAGAAATTGCAGTAATATGGGTTACTGACAGTGGCGGAAACAGCACTGAAACCTGTACTCAAGTAGAAGTACTGTTCCATTACTAAAATATTACTCAACTACAAGTAAAATAGCTGGCCTTAAAAAATATTTAAAGTGTTCTTCTCAAAAACGACTTTTTAACCATTGGTGTTTAATGCTTTTTAAAAAACAGGCATTTAATGAAAAGAGGAGATCCATGTAGAAAATATATGTTCTCAACAACACAATCAGCACATTTCTCTGATAATAAAAAGGTATAAATCAGAGCTGCACAATAAATGACAATATTATCGAAATCTGTGAAAATTGAAATTGTGATTGCAAAAATCCCACAAATCGTGAAACCATATCGCAATATTTGTCAAAATAATTGCAATGTGCGATGTTCTTTTCTTTTTTGTGTAGCCCTAGTATGAAGAGACTGGACAAAAAGGACCTGTATCTGGGAAGATTCACTGGTGTTCAAGTTGATGGATCTGTATCCAGATCTGTGTATCATTTTCCAGGACATCTTCCAGGAGTTTTTCTTGACAACCCAGGACAGCACTTGCTCACAATCATACAATTTACTGGTAGGCCTAGTATTAACACACAGTTCTATTACTTCCAGTTTACTTCCTCCTCCTTAATGTGGGTTCATGATGAAGTTTCTTGGGTTCATTACAGGTTCCAAAAAAATACGAACTTGGGTTTATGTAGCCAATCTGAGAGGGGGCAGAGAATTTAACTTTTTTAAGACAACATAGGTTACTTCCAGTATATTTGGTCATTTTAACACATTTCCAGTTGTTTCCATGACTGGAAAACTTGTCTTTACATTTCCAGGTTTTCCAGGACATGTGGGAACCCTGCATATCATATGAAATAATAAATAAATAAATTCCAGTCTGTAATCGTCTACATAGCACCTTGGATAAAACTGTATTTTTGTGCATTTGTTTCAGAGGGATCCAACTATGGAAACTTGTTTTCTTATTCCGTCTGTTAAGGTATACTAAAATGTTTTTGAACCTGTGTAGAACTCATGTAATAATAAATACATTTCCCCCAGTGCACTGCAGGCAAACAGCCAGACAAGGGCCTAAAAATCTGTCTCCATTTGGGTTCTCTTTCTCTAAATCTTCAGTCCCTAAATTAAGCTGCTTTGCTCACATCAAGTACCCAACAATGACTGAATTACAGTAAGTAATTGCTTATTTATTCCAATAATCCATATATTATTATTGTTTATTCATAGGTCTGAGGCGGGCTGTTCCGCCGCTGCCCGCTAGGTGGCAGCTGCGTCGCTCCGCCTGCCTGCGTGCTGTTGAGCCTTTGTTTATAGGAGCCACAGAGACGGAGGGGCCATGCTGCTCCACGGCATTGTCCCTGACACGGATTAACTGGCTGCCTGACAATGGCCGTGGCTCTGACAGCCACGCAGAGCCACACTGCGGTGGGAAACACCGACAATAACAACACTAGTTTTTCTCTTTACCTCCCAAGTCACTCTCCTCTTGCGTCGCTTCCTCCTCCCCGCTTATTATTAATGAGAGCAGCTCAGCCTGCTCGGCACACCGGAGGTCCACGGGCTCGCTTCCCCCCGTGTCTTTCTCTTCCATCACTGGCCTGGCCGCTGCTTCACTCGTGGCTACCGTCCCTCCTTCTTTCCCTCACTGTGTCGTAGCGTTGAAGCGGGACATGTCACTCAACTGTCCACACCGCTCGGCACCGTTCGACACGCATCTGGCAGGCGCTCTATAACGAGCCCATGGCAGAGGAGCCCGTCCTCTACGATGTCAACCCCCCCACGCGCCCCGCTCGGGAGCCAAGTTAACTTTTCATATAATCAGAGAAGCCCCCGTATCCGCCCGCGAACACCGCCCGCTCCTCCGAACGCCCTGTAGAAGCGCCTCAGCGACAGGCCTCCAGTAATGTATTTTAAGGCTCTTGCTTGTCTTCAGGGTGGGGAGCCGGACTAGGGGCCCCTGGGGCTCCTTAAGGGGCTCCTGGGTAAATTTAAAGAGACAGTAGCAGCGTCGACAATGCACACCCACCCCGGGGGGCGGGGGGGCAAACGGCGCAGCAGCAGGCGCTAATACAGATAAGCTGCTAACACTAAAGCTGCTGTTCTTCGCTAAATCATGCGGCCGTAGAGCGGCTTGGTTCGGCAGAGCAGCGGTTAAAACTCGAGGCGGGTCCACTGTAAATCAGGCCCCCATGAGCTCCAGCTCCTGAAATTGTGCTGGGGATCCCATCTATAATATATGGGATCCCCAGCACAATATAATATATGGGATATAGCCTAATATATGGGATTCCCAGCACAAAATGTGTAATATGTGATATAATATCATTTTAAAATAACATCAAGTATTTCTTAATTCATTTATTTCATTTAATTATTTCATGTATTTGTACATATTGTCTCTTTCTTCTGATTCTGATTTGCATTGTTTATATCATATAATACCCAGCGTTATTATACACAGTTATCTTTATTATTGAGTGATTTGTCCATTATTTCCTTGATTCAATTATTAATTGTTTGGTCAAACTGACATATTTATATTTTTTGTTTCGTCTGACCAATGTCCAAAACCCCCAAAATATTCAGTTTGCTATCAATAGACAAAGAAACGTAGCACTAGCACACAAATGTTGGCTTTAAAGGTCCAATGTGTAACATTTAGGAGGATCTATTGTCAGAAATGGAATATAACTTTCATAGGTAGGCTATATTTTCATTATGTATAATAAATATAATAAAATAAGAATTATTTTTGTTACCATAGAATGAGCTGTTTATATCTACAGAGAAAGTGGGTCCTGTTCTGGTGGAGTCCGCAATGTTCGCGTTTTGGCACATGTCGCAGCCACCGTATCTTCTCCTTCGCGTTCAGAAGAGGAGGGTGATGCGAGGGAGTTGCGATCTGCAATCACACCGCTAGATACCACACTGGTCCTTTCTAAATGCCTTCAATTATTAATTAAAATGTTGACTGGCTATCTGATAAACCATCTCTAATCATAATTATCTTACCTTGTGTTATTTGTTGTAATCTAATTCTATTTAAATTCAAATATTATTATTTTTTGGGTGTGGCTTCATAAACTCGTCTCCTTTGGTCCAGACAGTACTTGTGTTAATATTTTTTGTATGATTCATTAATATTATTACTATTATTTCAGTTCTCAAATTGTTGGGGCGCCCTAGCTCACCTGGTAGAGCTGGTGCCCCATGTACCAAGGCTGAGCCCTTGCTGCAGCGGCCCTTTGCTGCCTGTCCTTTCCTCTCTCTGCCCTCCTTTCCTGTCTATCTTCAGCTGTCGCTGTCAATTAAAGGCAAAAAATACATTAAAAAAAATCAAAGTATATTGAAATGAAAGTATTATTTTGTTGGACATTGGGCCCCCCTCTCAAGTCCCACACCTCTTGAAAATGGTTTTAAAGGACCAGTGTGTGGGATTTAGTGGCATCTAGTGGTTACGTTGCAGATTGCAACTTCCTCGCTTGACGGGAGGGAAAGGAGAAACTATGTTGGCTGCCAAACGCACGGAACACACATTTTGAGCTACTGTTTGGTTTGTCTGGGGCTACTATAGAAACATGGACAGATAAAAACAGCTCATTCTAAGGTAAAGAAAACCCAGTGATTCTTATTTTCAGGTGATTATACACAAATGAAAACACACCTATGGATATTATATTCCATTTCTGAGAATAGATCCTCCTAAATGTTACACACTGGACTTTTAAATAAGATCTTATTCAAAAATGTGTCCACTTTTATCCACTGCTACTTCTACTACAATCCAACTAATACACAGAGGCAGATCTCGAGGGGGGGGCATGGGGTCACAGCTGTCAGTTTGGTGTCAAATGCTGTCAAATTTAACACATTAATTTAGATTAATTTTAAAAAATAATGTGTTAAAAAACTAAAATGAATTCTGTTATTATTATTCTGTTATTGTTTTTAAACAATTGAGTTAGTTTTTTCATTTTTAACAATCATACAGACTTAATAGGCTTCTTTTTTGACAAATCCAGTTTTTTCTGGTCTATGGTGCTTAGCCATTGTTCGATTAGAGAATTTACTTTACATGTCCTACTGGAATGAACCAAATGCTCAGACATAGACCTACTGTGTTTTCTTACGGCCCTTAAAATGTCCAATGAAAAAAAAATGTATATTTGGAAAAATCAGTGTATTGATTTCTAATGCCACCTTTCGATATTTCCATTCAATGCTTTACTAATGTGCCACAACAATGTTTTTGAGTTCTAATATTTCATTTGCAAATATTGATATATGTGATTGTTTGTGATTAAATCAGAATATATTTCTGCCACCACTTAAAGTCTCCATGCCACCCTCTTGGAACCCCACTAATATTTCTTCTAAATCCGCCCCTGCTACTACAAGCAATGATACACATTGTTGCACATTATTCAAACCAGACACAAAACAGCACTGTACTCCTGCTGGCTTCTGCACAATGTCAATTGAGGCATCTGTAAAAAAAAAAAAAAAAAAAAGGCAATAAATCAATGGACCTTTGTCCAGTGGTTCCAAAATGGAAAAGGCTATGTTACTGCAAGCTTTACATCATCTCTGTGCATTGTCACTGCATTGTCTCTTGATTGGTTATTGAATTTGTCTCCTAGCTGTGCCACATTCAGCTTTTCCAAAATAATAAAATGACAGATGAGTTTCAGGTTGGGCCTGATGCTGCTGTGACTCATAGGTGTATTAGTTCACAGCCACAATTTTGTGAAATCATCTTTTTAATGCAGTCCTCTTAATGGGTTAGGGGGGCGTTGTACTATACTGTCTCTGTGTGTCCACGCCATAGAGTGTTCTCTCTCTCTCTCACACACATCACACACACACACACACCACACACACACACACACACACAGCAAGCATCCAGGTCCCACATCCTGGTACTTTTCAGCGTTGTCAAGGCAGCCTCAGAGCACGGCTGGCTGGCGGAAAGTAGCTGCAGTGTCCTGGCAAAATATCTGTCCAAAAAACGTTCACTAAAACTGTCCCGGAAAGTTAGGTGTAACTAAAAGGTAACGGCTATGCATGTTTTTCTTCCACACGTTTCAAAGCGCGCTGCTTTACGACAGCAATGTGCGGGTTTTCTGGCTTCTTTTAGACAGGCAGCGGACTCAGACAGGCGCCAGTCCGTGTGGACAAGAGGAGGAAGATCTTGTCCATTGTGCCGCTGAGAGACACAGCGCTTTGAGCTCGGTTTGCGCTCTAATACAGCGGGTTTTAAATGTATGTAATGCTAAATGTACTTCAGCCGTCTCGCTTCGCCGCGTTTACAACCAAACAGGCAGAGAATAAAGAATAAAAATGGCTCTCGACAGATATAATTTGTGATAGAAAGGGACAGGTTTAAAGGGACAGTGTCACTCTGCTTCCTTCCTGCTTCCTGCTTACACATTTGTACATACACGACGTGTTTATATCAGCAAAGATGCTGCGGAATGAAAATAACTCATATTTATGTTTTCCAATGTTACATTAACATATCGGAGCAACTATAGATGTACTCACACTGTGTACTAGTGGTGTGATAGAGGAGATGGGCGTTCTAGTATCCTACATATGCATTGTCTGTTTCATTTGCATTTAAACAAGCGTCAGTGGAAATGGAGCACTTGCTATAGTGAGGCCAAGTATGATGGTTTTTTTTAGCATGTTATTGAAGTTAACAAAAAGCACAGGTGAAACTAGTGTTTTCACAAGTTTTCGACAAGTGAAATGTCGTAAAACACATGTGCCTACAGGAGATGTTGCACATGTGATAAACCACATGAAATGTGGCACATTCAAAATGTGATATAAAATCAAAAATGTTCATATGTTATGTCTTGTATCTCAGATGTGTATTATCTGACAATCACATGGCTTTATGGTGAGAATTCATCACGTGTAAAGCTCATAGACCTGTGTGCTGATTGTCACATCTGAAATGTTCATCCGGTGTCTTACGTAAGATTCCTTAACATTTTGTATTGTGTAAATTACGTGACATTCATGTGTGCTTTTTTGTCATGAAAAAATGTTAACAGATGGATTTCTAATAATAATACTTCACACACTACAATTTCTGAAGTTAAAGGTCCAGTGTGTAACATTAAGAAGGATGTATTGGCAGAAATGTAATATAATATTTCTTTATTTATTTAGGTATTTTTTCATTAGTGTATAATCACCTGAATTATGGAATCATGTTTTTGTTCTGTTAGAATGAGCCGTTTTACCTACAGAGGGAGTGGGTCTTCTTCTACATGGTGGACTCTGCCATGTTGAACCATAATGTTTCTAGAGTAGCCCAGGATGGACAAACCAAACACTGACATATGAGATATGGGCATTTTCCATCCGTTTTGTGGCCAACATAGTTTCTCCTTCGCACTTGGAAGGAGAGTGTGAAGTTAGGGGAGTGTGAAGTTAGGTAAATTACATTCATGTGTGCTTTTATGTAATGAAAGATGTTAATGAGTACTAACATAACACTTACTCTGGTGAATTGTTATAAGCATTTGTCAACATTTTGTAGCCTTTTATAAAATATCTTGCATTCTATCTATAATCTATAATATAGATTGAACGATTAATTGAGAAAATCATTGGCAGACTATTCAAAATTGAAAATAGTTAGCTGCAGTACAACACCTACCATTATAGTACAACACCACTGTTAAATTAAGAATTAAGTCTCTGACAGTGTCAACAAAAACTGAACATCTGTCTATCAATCATTCTAAAGGTAGAATTGATGGGCTGTTTAATTGGATTGCATTAAATTGTACAGACATAGCCAATAAAGTGGCCACTGAGTGTATAGTTGAATTGAATTGAATTAATTTATGGCTGAGCTTTTGAATTGAATTGATGATTTTTTAATCTGACTCCGAAAAAGTAGTATTTTTTGTATCAGAAGGCTGGGATCTCCTTTTCATAGGCAAATTGTCATAAATTGGTGCCTCAAATCATTCAGCTGTTGGCTCATAGTGCAAGGTTTATTACAAAGTACAATGCAACTAAGAATTGTTTTCTGTTCCTCAGGACACCTGCATTCCGATGTGATGTCTGAGAGATTTGGCAGCTGCTCAGCAGAGCACAAACACCTACTGCCGCATAAAACAGAAGGACGGCATGTGAGTTAATGGCAGTGAGGATTCTGGACTGAGGGGATGAATTGAACCAGTGTGTCAAGGGAAGAGCCAACCAATACTGTTGGATGAGAACTGATGGGCTGTCCAAGCTGGCGATAGCATGCCAACTGCAAAAGGTAAAGGTGGTCCAACGTCCCATCGCTACCGGCCTGCCGCAGAATATGATGATGCCACCCTCGCCCAAAAGAGAGAATACTGGAGAAACAAGAAGCGAGAGCAGAGGGCTCGACTGTCCGAGAGGAGAAGAAAGCCAACGCAAGACAGAGGGAAAAAGCTCCTACATCTAAATCCCCCTGCAGCGGTGAATTCCAGTTTATCTGGCTCCTTTGCTGCTTTCTCATCTCCTTTGCAGAGTAATGATGAGTCAGACAAAACAGCCAATGTCTCTCCTGTATTACAGATTGGAAATACAGTGGGGAACAGCTCAGTTGAAGCCACCCAAAACCAAAAGGAGAAGTGGCTCCAGACAATGAAACTCAACAAGGTCTTGCCTCAGTTGCCAGCATCGTGTTCCATCTCAGCCAAAACTGCTGTGGGTGACGCAGCCACAGTGAAATGTTTAACAGCAAGGGGTGCTGTGAGCAGAGCCGTTACCTCACCCACACCCAGTGGAACCCAGCTGAACACCAGTTCCTCAGTGCCTCCAGTCAGAGTGACCAGAATTACCAATGGCAGCTCCGCTAAAACAACACCTCAGCCATGTGTGTCTATGCAGGGAGCATCAGTCTCCAAAACGCAACATAAGGCACAAGTTGCATTACGCATTCAGCCCAAACTCTTACCCACTAATGTGACCACAGGTATGATTCTTGTGTCTTCTTCACATGGCCCTGTTTCTGTTAGAAAAGATGGCAAAGCAGCGAACACAACACCTCAGAGTGGAACAAAGAGTGCCTTGGTCACCCTGCATAGGGCTAAAGGTGTTAGCAACTCACATCCTTCCCTGGAGTCCGAGGAGGAGAGAGCGGCCAAGCGCAGGGAGCACTGGCGGATCAAAAAGCGAGAGCAGAGAGCGAAGGTGGCAGCTCGAATAGCTAAAACCAGAGAAAGGACACAGGGTGTGGAGATGATGTTACACAGGCAAACAGCACAAAAAACGGGACTTGTGGGTGGCACGATTCTTCAGAATCTTACACCCAGAGGAGAGGGCCAGAAGTGTCCTACTCGAGTCAAAACTTCATTTACATCTGCCAAAAGGGAAAATGATAAACTGCAAAGCGGGGCAGCAAGTTTAGCTACAGCTAACCTGCAAGCAGATCAGATAAACGTACAAAATCCACCTGGGAATAGGACGACACAGACATGCATCACATCTGATGTTATTTCTGTGAAAAAGCCGGGGGAGACACAAAGAAAGTTTCCAAGTTATGTCTATCTTTCCAATGTTTCCCGAGGGATTGCACGCTGTAAAACACCTAGACAGAGGTTCATCGAAGCCCAGAAGAATTTCATGAATCAAAGAAATATAAGATGTAAATCCCCATTGCTTGCCTCAGTCTTTGGTACCAGAAATATCCCCAAGATTGACCCCAATGACACACCTGAGCAGATAATAGCCAAACGGCGAGAGTACTGGCGGATTAAAAAGCGCGAGCAGCGGGCTAAGCTGTCGATGGAGGTGAAGGCTCGGTTGAAGGAGAAGGACTCACTGATGCGGAGAGTAAAACGCTACCAGAAAATCCTCGAGGAGATGAGGAGGGCCAGAGCGCTTACGCAGTCAGCAGGAAGCACCCTCACGCACGCCTCTGAGACCATTGGAGGATTCATCAAAGAGGACGGGACAGTGACTATTAACATTCCCCAGGTTCCTACAGATCACAACACTGCAGCACACAAAAGTGAAAAGGAACTTCTTGTAGTTTCTAATAATACCCCTGTCACAAAACCTCAGCATCAGCCTGATACTAAACAGAGAAGTATCGCACCCATTCGTGTAAACCAGCCTCCCCCTCCACTCCACCCAGCTCAGGTGAAAGTCTCGTTGTCTCTTCCTGTACAGTCTGTCAACAAACCTCCAAGACTACTGTCAATCAGACCAAGGACACAACTTGAAAGCACAACTGTTCCAACTAATCTCTCGTTAGCAATCCAAACTGTAAGTCAGCTCACACTCACTCATCCTCAGACCCCTCAAAATGGCATCTCTGGAGGATCAACAACAGGATCTAACCTTGGTGGCTGTGTCATGAAAATGGCGGTCTCAAGTAGTGCACCAGCAGTACTCTCTCTGGATCCAGAGATGACAGAGGAGGAGAAGATGGCAAAGAAGAGGGAATACTGGAGGATAAAGAAACGTGAGCAGCGAGCAGCTCGTGCTGCTCGGCTGAAGCAGGGTGTCTTGCAAGCGAGGGTCAGTGCGGCCTTACAGAGGCGGAAGGCCCAGAGGCAAGTAGCAATAAGCACTGTACCAATAGGCAGGAGGCGTTCTAACCATACAGGAAATGCACAACCTCTCCCCAACAACAGTGTGCCTGTTACACCACATAGAAGTGAGATAAAACAAGAGAGTGAGTCTGTGCCAGCGGTTGACCTAAATTCTCAACCAGAGCAAGCCATCTGTCCAGATATCAAACCCCCAACACCACCTCCAGCGCCTCAGCCAGAGCCTGACCCAGCTATGAATGCAGACAGCCAAGCTACTACTCTGTTAGCTGTGGCCTCTATGAAGAAACTCCTGGAGGAATCACTTAGCACAGTGGCGGAGTGTAAAAGTGAGCAGACTGACATTAAAATAGAGTCAACAGAAGAGAGTTCAGATTCAGAGATGAAGCCAAATCTATCTCAGCTCTTTTTTGAAAAGGATGAGGTGGCTCCTATGGCTGCTGACCTGACATTGGAGATAAAGAGCTGGCAGCCAGACACTGATGCTATGGTACAAACAGGTTCATCAGACCCTCATCTGAAGGACTCACCACAAATTACAGAGACACCACCTCTTCCTACCTCTAGTGAGGTAGTCCTGCACCCCACCTGTGAGCACTCATCCCAAACCACCTCGAACTTCATAGTAAACCCCATGGAAGCCTCTGATGGCCCATCTTCACCACGTAGAACCCAGAGACTTCGCAACAAAAAAGCAGGCCATCAAAACTGCTGTTCCCCAGAGCCGCCAAAGCTACATCACCTATCCATGGATCAACTACTGCAACAACACTGTGAACAACAGTGTCAGGCACAAGAACAATGCCAAAACAGCAGCTTTCCATCAGCACAACGACATTGCAGTGTGGAGAACAGCGGCCTGACCAGCCTGCAGAGGAAGAGGGAGTACTGGAAGCTGATGAAGAGGCAGCAAAGGGCCAGGTTAAAGGCAAGGCAGACAGAAATACCGGGAGAGGGAAGCAGTCAGCTTTCCCAGAAAAACATCCAGGTGATCCATCTGTAGTGTGTAGATGCTTGTGTGGCAGTAAATAAATAGCCAATATTAAACATGCTTGATACAGCACTGTTTTGATTTAATTGGATCTTAGAGAGAGAGTCAGAGGGACAAATCTTAGAAGAAGAAACAAAGACTATACAGAGCTTTAGTTTGACCCCTCTGCTCAAAATTGGAGCACCTCATCATTTCAATTACAATAAGCCTAAGTAAGTGTGAGAAATGTCCATTGGAAAGTCCCACTGGTGAAGCATTCACAAGATTCTGAGCTCTCAAATTCTGGTCTATGTTTTGGAGCCCAGTTACTTTTGTTGTACTTTTTTTGTTCCTAGCATGACACCAAATGTTCACAAAACAAAAGCATAGCATGGCATGACGTGGCATTAACTGGTGTAGATGAAAAAGTATCTGGTTCACTCAGGATGTTATCTGGTGTGCAACGGAAACCTTTGTGCCCAAAGTGGTGGGTGACCTTCAAAACAAACAGAGATTGTCTGCTTTTGACCCTTGATGAATGAGAAGGTCTGATTATACAGAATTTATAGTTATCTAAACTAGAAACTGAAAACCCCCACAAGTCATTTAGAGACTTTGTCCTTTTACAACATTTGAATTATGCGTGTTTTTCGGTGGCATTTAATGTTCATTTGTTCGTTAGCACAAAGAGTCCAGGGCTTTTAGGCATGGCCAGTGCCTTCTTCAGCTAAAACCTGAATCATTATAGTGCAAACCTCTGTCTGGCATTTGACACTCGAACAGCAAAAATAGAGGGGAGTGTGACAGAGAGAGGCCTACTTTAAGCTCAGGACAAACATATATGTGCATGTTTCAGACAGATTATTGTCTGATTGTTGTATTTGTGTCATCTGTAAGAAACTGAGGTAACTCATTTGCTAATGTTTTTCAGGCTCCAGGTCTCCTTATTATCAACACTGTTAAGGGTATAAATCCTCCAGCAAAACCATCCCTTCAGCCCAGGCCATCTGTTGCTTCTCTGACTGCAGTGACCAGTATTCCTACGGTCCTGGTTGTTAGCCCTACAACATGTAATGCTGACCAGTCACCTGATACACTCCAGGTCAAATTGCCAGTCGCCAGTGTTTCCTGTTCACCCAGAAGTGAGCAAAACAAAGTGAATGTTGGGCCTGCACAGATTGAATCTGACTATCTAGAAGCTGTAGATAATCAGCAACAAGCCATGCCAGGATCGCGAAAGTGGATGTCTAGAAGCACAGATGTAGACTCAGTTCCCTGCCTCCCTACTCTGAAGCCCCCAGACAACCCACTGTCCAGCATCAACCTGCAACCCATTGAACCCCTTGGTCAAACACCAGATTCCACCCTCAGTCCAATAAAAATCCATTGTGCCCAACTTCAGAGCCCTGCACATATGATACATTCTTCCACTAAGCTGGCACCTATAAGCACCATGGTTCCACCAAAGCCCATCCCAGGGGAGTCTGAGGAAGATTATCTGAGGAGGAAACGGGAGTACTGGAGGATAAAAAAGAAGGAGCAGAGAGCTAGGAAGGCCATCCGGGAAAAGGGAATAAGCCCAAGGAGAAGCTCCAACAACTGGAGGCCCATCCTGCCTGCCCAGGACCTACAAACACAGGTAAGAGCTGCACAAATACTTAGAGGCTTCATCTAATTATTATGCTTATATTAAATTAGGAAGAATGCAGATAAATGATAAAATGATAAAACCCCTCTCAGGTTACGTTCTTACTGAAAACTGGAATTTGATTGTATGATAGAGTCCACATGTGTGTTCATAAACCATGTAACCATTGATATATCCATGATATCTCTCTATCACAATACACAAATAAGCTGTGATACAGAGATAGAAAGTGACAAAGAAAGAGATTTGGTCTGTATTTAATTGTGATCACTAACTAACTTAATTAAATGGTGATGGAGCTCTGAGCAACACTCAGCACTCACAATTCAACAATGGCAGAGGTACTAGATCCTATAATTCTCATAACAGAACTAGATATCGTTTTGTTGATTGTAACATAGGCCTTCTGTGACATATTAATAGCATCCAAGCTCAAACCAAAAAACCTGCAAAAGACATTCAGTTTTCACAGGCTGATTAGTACTGTGGATGGATTATTGAACATGCCTACTGGGCACAGGACACAGGTTCCTGGACCACAACCGTTGACTACTAACATTTCTTGTTTGAATGTCACTCAAATGGCTAAAAAGAGGATGAAAAACGACCACAAAGAGACGCAAAACAACTATTAAGGGATGCAAAATTACAACAAACAGACAACAAATCGACAAAAAAAACTACAAAGAAATGTAAAATGACTACGAAGAGATGCAAAATGACTACAAAGGGACACAATACAACTACAAAGACACAAAAACAACTACAAAGAGACACAAAAACAACTACAAAGAGACACAAAACAAGAAAAGCTCCATCATTACCTACACTGCCTTAACTCACCCTCCAGTCTTGGTGGCTGATATTGTAGATGCAGACTTGATTATACTTATATGCTTATTTTATGTCTCAAATTAGTAAATAAAGTCAAATGAAGCATACAGCTGTTGTTAGTTTAAACACAGGAACTGGATATGGCTAATATTTAATAATTAATGTAAACAAGCATCCATTGATTTTATGTCATCCATCAAGTTCCTCAAGTGAGATTACATTTACTTTATTGTCATATACAGTAAGAAGAAAAAACAGAATTAGGAGACAGTGTGAACATAGTCATTCTCAGTTTTTTATTACAATCTCAAATTCTTTCAAAGTGATTTCTTTCTCTCTGACTAATCCGTGTAGGATTCTGGTCAGTGGGTGAGCTCATCTGAGGAGTCAGAACATCTAATGAGGTGGGAAATTTGTATTGCTCCTGTAAAATTTATCTTGCTGCCAGTTCTATGTAGGATAATAATGAATGTTCTCTCTCTTTCACAGCACTTTAGTGGATACCGACCCGGGATCATTTCCATACTCAAATTACACAGCACCAGTAGAAGGTGGAGTATCAACTATGTCAATATGAACCCAAAAGAATGCACATTAGAATGGTGAAACTGACGCAAACCTTTCTGTGTCTCAACTGTCTCTTCAGATGAGTCGGAGCTTCTGTTCGCTGACTATGAGAATAACAACAACGAGGAAGGTCCAGTCTCAGATGCTGTGTGGAGGAACCGCTACCTCATGGACTACGATCCTCTCAACCAGCTGCTGGTGTGCATGGTGTGTGGGGAGCTGCAGTACTCACACAGCCTGGAAGGAGTGAGGGCCCACATCGACGAGGCCCACCCAGACACCCTGACCCTGGAGCCAGGGGAGCAACAGCAAATACTTGAGGCCTGGGACGAGCAGGTGTCCCAGCGGGAACGCTTCTTCACCAGCCAGCTCCAGCAGCACAGCGGGGCCCTGGCAGGTACAGTATGACTACAGAGAGAAGACATGTTGAGAAGGCCAAGCACCTGTTAACGTTTATACATATGGTGGATGAAGAAGCTCACCGGAAGACACACTGTTTCCCTTACGGTACCAGTACCATCATTCTCAGGCCAGTTACACCTAGCATTAGAATGCTTCTCAATCTGACCCGGGCACATGGCGCAGAAACCCTGAGCAGACCCCGGCTTGGTGGGGGCTGTCTTGTAGAATGAGTTTTCTCCAGCACCACGTTTGCAACTTTTGTAGGGGAGGTAAAAATTCTATTGTCTGATAGGCAGATGGCCATGAAATGTGCTTGTTGGAAACACATCCTCAAACTAGCTACTGGTTAGACTGTATAGCAGAATCCTCATTATGTTTAATTGTCCTTCTAAGACTTTGCTGTTTTATTTATTTCCCAAACCTGTCTAACTTGTTTTTCAGAAGCACACAACAGAGACCGAGTCAACTGAGGACCTCAGATCAGGAGACAAAACCCATGCTTTATTTGTCTTATTTATTTATTGTAATGTTTTTTTTATCAATTTGTTTACCTTCATAGAAAGTCACCTTGAAAGAGAATGCTGTATAGGGAACATTCGCCCTGAAAAGCAGCTTTACCTCATTTACTACCAGGGTTGTAATGTGGGTTCATGAAAGTCAGCATCAAGTTTTATATTGAAGCTGCCACAACTGAGATTTTGTGATCATATTTAAAATATTTAAAATAAAAACATCCTGGGAAATTATTTTTGTGCTAAGTTAGGCTAAAAGCATTCTAGACCTGTCTGATATATTGAAATCATTTTCATATTCTTTCTCTACTTTAATTCGGCCATTTTAAACTTTAACAACCATAAGCATTCAGTGTTTCCTACAGACTTGTCTGAAATAGCATTAAGGCCATCAGAGGACAATAAAAACCTGTCTTTGAATAGACTGTGTTACTTTTGCTGAACAGTGGCCAATGTGGCCATCAGTGCCATTTACTAGATAATTGCAATTTTCCCTCATTTCCCAGGATTCTCATAATTTTGCTAACATTAGCTACCTTAAGATACTGGCCAAGTAAGAGTATGTATCACTATCTTTTAGGAGTGTCTTTTATTTTCGTAGATTTTATATTGCAAAATTTCCATTGCAAAAATTTGGTGAAAGCAAACAAATCTGTTCACACACTATTAAATTCTCTATTTTCTTCTGAGACTTTTTGGGATTTGGAAACCTAGCGAGGGAGACTGAAGACTAGAGCCACTGCTATTGAGGTTCAGCAAAATATAGAGGAAAGGCTCCAGGTCAGAACATAACATATGACGCACATTTTACTTGACTCTCTTTTTTAAATTAACTGTAAATAACCATTAGTCATTTCCATATAATCTTTTTTATCAAAGCCACAGGGAGCCACTGGAGATGGGCTAAAGAGTCACAGGTTGCCTACCCCTATTCTAAGAGTTATGTTATTTCTTCTTTCAAAAGTTACACAGTCTTTCTTAAGCTAAACTGATAAACAGTCAGTAGTTAAAATAACTTTTTGTCATATTTGCTGAATCTGCTGAAAGAGGGGAGAAAGATATAAACATGCTTTGGGTTGGATTGTTGACTCTCATTTTCACTGTCAGTATTATTTGATAACCTGGAAATGAGACTCAATAATCAACTATCTTTCTTGGCTCTGATTGGTTGTTTTCATCCAGGCCTGTTGGATTCTTGCAAATACCATTAGGAGCACTAGGAGGAGCCAGAGGAACCTGATTTTTTCACAGATTACCTGTCTGATGTTCTACTGTGACAAAAAGTTATTTTTTATAAAAGTTACCTACTGCAGCTTTAACTTCTGCAGACCCACTGTACCTTATTCAGTAATAAGCAAACTATCCTAAATATATCGCTGGTTTCAAATGCAGAATTAATGTACATCAAACATTGTTGAACAATTCAACTGATGAATAAAATGTGTTAAACGTTAAATACAATGTCAGGATGTGTTTGTGACATTGATAGATGTCATTGATAGATAAATTCTACATTAAATTTAGATTTAAACCCCCTGTTCATCCAGCTATAAGAAAAGAAACACATACTTTATACTGTAGTTCATTTGTTTAAGATAACAGTTACTCTCAGTTTTGTATAAAGTTTTTTTCTGCTTTGCAGACAGGCTTGCATTCAGGTCCAAGACTGTTCTAGACCCTTATCAGATAATTGCATGGGCGCCCTGAACTGTTTTTTGTATGTGGTACAGCACCATGCTGTTCTTTAAACCCTGAACCATATATACAGTGGGGAGAAGAAGTATTTGATACACTGCCAATTTTGCAGGTTTTCCCCACTTACAAAGCATGTAGAGGTCTGTAATTTTTATCATAGGTACACTTCAACTGTGAGAGATGGAATCTAAAACAAAAATCCAGAAAAATCACATTGTATTTTTTTAAGTAATTAATTTGCATTTTATTGCATGACATAAGTATTTGATACATCAGAAAAACAGAACTTAATATTTGGTACAGAAACCTTTGTTTGCAATTACAGGAGTCAGACGTTTGTAGTTCAGTTGACCACTCGTTTGCACATGTTTTGGCCACTTCCTCCATGCAGGTTGAGGACAAGAGGTGTCGCGTGGGCAATACGGACTTTCCAGCCTCGCCTCAAAGGGGATTTTCTATGTTGGGTTCGAGGGCGTCTGAGACTCGCGTAGCCACTCCAGGACACTTGAGATGCTTCATACGGACACTCCTTAGTTGCCCGCGTGGCTGTGTGTTTCGGGGTCGTTGTCAGTACTGAAGACCAGCTACGACCCATTCTTCAATGTCTTAATGAGAAGCGATTGGGTTGGCCAGTTTGTGCAAACAGTGGCCCCCATCCCATCCCTCCCCTCAAGTACGGTGCCAGTCGTCCCCGCAGGCCTTGCGCAGAAAAGCATCCCCAAAGATTGGATGGTTTTCCACCTCGATTGCGCTTCGACGGTATAGGGATGCCGTGTGTGTCTTGGGGTTTGGTACTTCATCCCTTCTTGCGTTCCTCCAAACCATGGCGAGTGGAGTGTTAGACCAAAAAGTCATATTGTTTGTCTCAATCAGAGCCACCGATGACCTTCTCCCATTCCTCCTCTGGGATCATCCAGAGTCGGTCAGTGGCAAAATTCAGACGGGGCCTGGACATTGGCGCTGGGCTTGAGCAGGGGACCTGTGTCCGCTTGCCGCTGCCACGGATTTGTTAACCAGCGCTGGCTTTAAGTTGTTACTATGATGGTCATGAGCGGTGTGTATCTTGGGTGAATCCGCTCACCCTTTCCTCGAACTGATCATGGATGCCCCAATGGGAGGTGAGATCTGCATGGGAGCCCCAGACCGAGGGAGGACTGACCGTCATCTTTGAACTTCTTCCATTTATCTAATAATTGGCGCACAGGTTGTTGCCTTCTCACCAAGCTGCTTGCTATTGTCTTTAGGGGCCCATCCCAGGCCTTGTTGCAGGTCTTACAGTTTTGGCCCTGAACGTGTCCTTACACAGCTCGTCTGGGTCAGTGGCCATTGTGGGATGGAGGGGTTGGAGTTTGTTTGACTGCCGGTGCCCGGGCTGCGTGGCAGTGTGTGGACAGGTGTTTTGTATACAGGGTAACAAAAGGTTCACGAGTACTGGAGATTTTTGTTTTAGATTCCATCTCTCACAGTTGAAGTGTACCTATGATAAAAATTACAGACCTCTACATGCTTTGTAAGTGGGAAAACCTGCAAAATCGGCAGTGTATCAAATACTTGTTCTCCCCACTGTATATTCCTCTGACAACTTTTTGTAACTTTTTTTACGGTAACTTTCTCATCATCTCCCGCGGGTCATATCAGCTTCGCCATGTATCACAAAGCATCAACCATCTGCACTGTAAATACACAAAATACTTAAGTGGTTATGAGATGCCAAATTTTCCTTTGACTGTGCCGTTTGCATTTCTTGAGCAACTTTATTTATTATTTATTGAATCTCCTCTTATATAATGATTATTAATGATGCATTATTCACATCCGTAGATAGCTCCATGTTAGACAGAAGTTTGTCATTTGTGAGTATTGAGGATCCAAAAGCTTTCCTGCATGAGTAGTAAATGGATGAACAATTGTATATTGGAGATGAACTCTGGAATGCATTCCCATGTTTTTGGATGATTTTCATTAAGAGTAAAAATGCTGAAATAATCTTCTGTTTGAGCACAAAGCTGTGGAGGAGACTGCTTACACAGCCACAACACAGTGTGAATAGCTTGAAGGGAGCGAGCTATTCTATCTTCTGAGAATGTAATTCTGACTTGATGACTTGTTTACCAGTTCAAAGGGAATGTTTAAATGCCTTTTCAGTAATAAACCTTTTCTACCTTTGGGCTTATTCTTTGAGATCTTTTTTAACACAATAATGGTCTCATTTGTTCTTGGAGTTGGACTTTACTCTGAAACTCTGGCTGGATAAGCCATTTATCGAAGCTCAAGCTACATTTTGTGCCATCACCACAATTGTCCTACTACCTCATTGTAGTTTTTTTTCAGGACGAAACGTGCAAAAAGTCCCCATATAGAGCCAGTGTTTGGTTTGTCTGTTCTGGGCTACTGTAGAAACACGAAGGAACCCACCTAAGAACCCACTCCCTCTGTAGATAAAAACAGCTCTTTCAAAGGTAATGAAAACTCAACAATTCCTATTTTCTGATGATTATACACTAATGAAAACATACCTATGAATGTTATATTCCATTTCTGACAATAGATCCTCCAAAGTGTTACATACTGCACCTTTAAGATTAATTAAAATGTATATTCTGCAATATTTTACACAGATTAAAATGAGGAAGCATTTTTAATGTAGTTTATTTGATTACTGATTAACATTAATCAGAGTAATCCTCAGGTTCTACTAAGCTTGTGTGTTCTATATTTAAATGAAGCACTAGTTCAGCATCTTACCCAGCATGGACACTTCTAACATCAGCCATACACTAAGTCATGATACTTTTGTCAGTCTCAACCACACAGTCTGACTGCTGTTCACTGTTTCATCCCCTGGCTTCTCCTCGGCGGTTCGTCTTCTACAATTTCTTTTTCAGTCTGTCTCTCTTCCCTCTGGGTCTCTGGGTCTGGCCTTTGGTGGTGGTGGCCTGACTCTGTGTCAGCTGCCCCCTGCAGCTCCTTGGGCCTGGCATCCAGGCGGAACAGAGTGGGGACCTGACCCAGGATGGGGTTGTTCTGCTGGAGGCCAGAGATCCACTGGTTGAGGGTGGCCTCGTCTTCCCTGCTGGTCATACACATGGCAAAGACTGGACCCTCATCCACTGGATACAAGACACAAAAGTGACAAGACCAACATTAATTTGGATGTCAACTGAATAACCACATCAGCTCTGAACACCAGCAGGAACAATCAATTGACAGCTTCAGTGTCAGTATCTTACAGTCTTCCACATCGAAGCTCTCTTCCTCCCCCAAGTCACGGTCCAAATCCAGGTCTAGCTGCAGAGGATAGAAGAAACACCTTTCTGGATCATAGGGCTCCTCTACCTGTGTAGGGAGTACATATACAGCTGTTAGAGTCTGAGACAAGTCTCTGCAGCAATGATGGAGACAGAGTTCAGTGTCTACCACTGTGCACGCTAAATATCTATTTTTTGGATGCAGTTGAGCAAGGGTCAGTTTTGATCAGGAATGTTCCTGAGAAGTGTCTGAGTGTCAGCTGCTATAAGAGCTGGGAATCATTAAATAGGAAGGAAAGTAGCTTTGATGCTTTCTTTGCTTTGCATTGTTCACGAGCGTTGGGAAGATCAGAGGAGCTTCTGTGAGAGGAAAGGACTTCCTACATTACTCACAATTCACTTATAGATGAGAGCAGCCGTACCTCACTTTCTTGTCTTCAGAACAACCACGTCCACTTTTGGGTAAAACAAGCTTCTGCATCGCATTTTGCACATCAAACAACAGACTTTCTTTACTTCCCCAAAAAGTAAAGAGAAACTCATTCATTTAGATAGATGAGAAGAGCAATCTATAACTACCCCACTTCTGATTCTGAAGTTCCGGGGACCACCTTCCCAAATAAAGGGGAAAAAAACTGCACTATAAATATCTAATATAATAAATATATATAAATACCACTGTCAGCTGACCAAGATAAATATACCATATAGCTAGCTTTCAAAGCAGAGTTAGATTGAGTTGTTAATGTTGTGATGACTTTCTGTTGTGTCTGAAGCACATCCCATTTTGATGGTTGTAGCGCCTCATTTGACAGGATTAAACCCCAGTAAACACAATGTGCTTTCGGCTCAGCATCACTGCCTGCAATAAATCCAGATTTAATTTAATCACTTTTTTTGTTTCAAAAACCGATCCATTTTGTGTCACTGCATCTGAGGGAACTAGCTAGCTATCAGTTGCATAATATTCAGCTGTAACCAGTGTATTTTTAAAATACAATATTTTAAAATGTTTATTTTGCTAGTTATTTAAAAATAACTAGAATTAAAAAAAAAAACCACATTATTATTTTCATCTAAATATTAGTATCACTGTCTCCACACACCACAAGCGTCCCCCCAGTGGGCTGGTTAAAAATGTCTGCATTAGGCAATCTTCTTAGTGACTTTTTAGGGAGGAATTAAATTAAGTAATGTAGGCAGGATTAAAGTTACAAAAACCACATCGTATAAGTAATACATATATAACTGTAATTTAATAATAAAAACAACTGAAGGTTTTCCCACCTTCTCGTCAGGCGGTGTGGGGTCAGCTCTGAGGATGTAGTAGTACACACATGTCTTCCTCAGCCACAGAGGGAAGGGGCCCTCCACAAACACTGGCTTGCTCGGGTTATGCTTGGCCAGTAGCTCCATCTGGCTGGGGCTCTGGATACCTGGGTCAACACAGGAAGGCAAGGAAACAAAGACAATGAACAAAAGTTTGGATATACATGGATATAATCCCAACATTGTACTAATGTAACAGTTTAAAGATGGAGGGAATTCCTGGTTCTAGTTTTTTCTTTTCCACTAACTCTTCTGCTGCAATTTTGTATTTATTATATTTGAATATATCTCAGCAGTATACTAAAATGTACTCTTAATCCCAGACTTCCATGAGCAGTCGGAATGCTGTGAAACCACTATAGCACATTAATGTGTGATGTTTCCATACCTATTACATGTGGAAGTGTGATCTGCTCCCCACTCTCTGTGATGTCTGTACAGGGCAGCTAGTGGGAAGAGAAAAAATAAAAAAATACATAATTTTCAGATTTTGTAATTGGTCACATTATTTTTGTTTTCTCAAATAATTAATAGTTCTGCTGCTTGCTGTCCACAATCCTCAATGCTAAGCTAGGCTAACCAAATCCTGACTCCAGATCTATACTTAAAGCCCCTACAAGGAACTTTCCTTTTGTCTTGATTCAGCCACTATAGACAAAAGCAGTAGTGTTTTCTACTGCCTTATTTAATTGATTTCAAAAGGGAATCCTCTGGCTCCTCCTAGTGCTCCTAATGGTATTTGCAAGAATTCACCGGCCTGAATGGAAACAACCAATCAGAGCCTTCAAGCCTCCAACCCAAAGCGTCTTTTCATCTTTCTCGGCTTGGTTATTTTTGTTTAGGCCCGGTGGATTCTCACAAATTCCATTAGGAGCTAGTCAGAGGAGGAGCCAGAGGAACCTGATTTTTTACAGATTATCTGTCTCATGTACTTCTGTCAGGATATAGTGAAAGTTTCAGCAAATATAAAAAGTTGTCTACTGCTGCTTTAAAGTAAAATAATCCAAACTCTTCCAGCTCAGGCATAAAATGATGATCTTTTGTGACCCCGTCTGCAAAACAAGATCGAGAAACGTAGCATTCAGACAAACACACACTCGACTGGTGACCTTATTGTGTGACCGATGATCAGAGGCGTGTCCGTTACACATTACTGATCATCATCATCCGCACTGTGTTTGTGTGTCGTAGGTCTATCAAGGCCCAGAGACAGACGCGGCGGTCTGCACCCACCACCCCGGAGGTCCCGTCTTCCACGAAGGGTAATACACAAAGAGTTAAAATGACTGCTGTGTGTTTCCACTTCTTCACTCCGGACATTGCAGAGGCATTATGCATAATCCGCCGTAACAAAATCATAATTACAATCTTTATTTGCACAACTCTCATTTCAAACTATAATTAGACAAGGCTTAGGCTTCTACAAAAGAAGGAATGTAAACAAAATTAAACTGAAGGCCGTGTAAGAAAAGCAAAAAACATAAAAGCTAAAATATGAAGAAAAAAAGGAAGATCAGACAGTTAATTAAAGATCTGAAACTATAAACAAATATGCAATATTACAAACAGAACTGCTCTTTGAATCACACAAAGTATATGAGCATCACTCTCCCATTGATGTGGTAACACTGCTGCTTGGTGCAGCCGTTCGGTTTCTAACCTGTGACACTTTGTTCTTTTTTTGTGTAGCTATAAGTACTGGAGCTGCTGCTGCATAAAGACAATAGATTTCAACGCTTTCCTCGATCAGAAAGGCTGCACCGCAGGGAAACACCGCTGGATCCCAAAGCAGGTACACACACCGCCTGGAGGGGAATACAGCATCAGTGGCAGGTAGAACAAAAGGAGAGCCTTTGGTCAAAGTTAGCAGGAAATGACCTTAAAAGCAGACACAGACATGATGATGACAACAAAACAGCCTCCACATTTTAAAATGACCCCTTTTTTTTTTGGAATGGACGTTGGTGTGTGCAGCTAGTTTGTTCATTCTACTGTGAGTTTTGATCAGAAAACAGCAAAACAACGAAGCTGAAAGCTAAAATGACTATAATGTTCAGTTTTTGTTTAATATACGCAACATGTCATCCGATCATAATGGGTAAAACCAGTGGTTCCCAACCCTTTTCCTTAACAGACCCCTTTTCTATCATTTAGTAACCTGACGCTCCCTGCTTAAGGGATTTAATGGATGTTTTATACTATATTCAAAACTGTATATTTAACTCAAATAGTGAATAGTTTATGTAAAACGAGTGATTTAGATGAATTTTGAGCAGATTATTTCCAGTTTAGGGAACTTTTTATACAATTCTCTGTCTGTATCATGTATTTTTTTTTATCATTTCTAACAATCATACAGACTTAATAGGCTTCTTTTGCTTTAAATTTAATGTTTTCTTTATTTTACATTTAAATTTCAATGTGCTACTTTTGAATTTTATTGTGTTACCCTGAGAGGTGTTTCCAATATTTTGNNGTCAGGATATAGTGAAAGTTTTTAAAGAATATGATTTTTTTTTTATATTTATATTTTTTATAAAAGTTACCTACTGCAGCTTTAATAATAACGCCATAGAAATAACCAATCTTCTCTCTGATCGTCTTGTTTGTTTATGTAGCTCATATAGAAGCATTAGTATTAAACTGAGACTGTTTCATAACCAGTTAAAACTCCTTGTAGAACATTTAGCTCACAGACATGAGATCAAAATCAATCACTTATTTTCCCAAATTTGAAAACCTATTCCCTTAAGTCCAATCTGAAGCTGGTTGTACCTGATACACAGTGACTTTAGCGTCCCGGTCATTAGCGATGCGAGTCAGGCTAAGGCGAGCCAGGTCCACTGGGTCTTCAGGCAACTGCTGGGGGATGGGGAAGGGGTTTATGTGTTTGAATTTGGGGAACCAGTACATGATGCGTTGGTACTTCCTCATGGGGTGGCCCTTCAGTCCAAATATCTGGACCAGCAGGACTTTGGTCTCAATGTTGGGCATGATACCTGAAATACAATCATTCAAACTTAAGACAGACAGGCACTGCTGTATACATTTCTCTATCTGGAATAACCCTCTCTAAATTCCAAAGCATTCCAGGAATTCCATAATCAGACTGTAAGAGACACCTACCATAGTTCTCCATCTGCTCCAGTATCTGCACTCCACACTCCTGCTGCCGGGGATAGTGGTTGAACATCCGCTGGACAAAGTTTACAGGCACGAACACCTCTTTGGGGAAAACGTCCAGTAGCTTGTTGTAGACTTCCAGGTCTCTCTCCACGCCGAACTCTGGCATCTTCTTCAGAGCGGCGTAGATGAACTCCACGTGACCCCGCCGCCTCACGTCTCTCTTGAGGAAGACATTCACCACTTTGATAAACGTGGCCTTGGTTTTGGCCTCCTTGGTCACCTGCTCAAACAGGTTATCGTAGGTGACCAGAGACCCGTCGCTCTTCTTGTTGTCCTCGTTGATGACCTCAGCCCGTACAGGTCGACTCTTTGCACATGCTGGGCTTCCATGGAAACGCCTCAACACCTACAAATGACAGTGGACTTTGTTCATATGGAGCTCAGCACTCTATGTACAGCGTACGTTCTGGCACGGTGTATATGGGATTGAGTCAGAATAAACTATAGTGTCTGTGTTCATGGCAATGAAGTAACATGTCACCCAGCGCAGTAATGTGATGTCTTTTTTATAGTGTTTGGACAACTATTGAGCTATATGGCACAGAGGAAAAAGGTATATCAGTATTTATGTATCCAGAATTGAAGACTGACCTCTCATCAATCAGGAAAGGTCTGAGTCATCCTTATGTGCTGTTCTGCCTTTCCTAATAACCTGTGCTTCACTAAAGACCAATATTTTAAACAGAGTCTGGATGCTATGTGTACAGACTGATGTATACCTGGTGCTGGGTGTTATGTAGAAAGTTGAGCTGAGTGGAGGAGGCTGACTGGAGCAGAGTGCCATACTGAGCAGCAGAACTGGCTGACTGGCCCACCAGTCTGAGACCCTGCAGCTGGAGCAGGCAGCGGGCACACTTCATGGTAGAGCCATCACACACTGACCTTCAGGAAACAAAACTGCACAGGGACAATGAACAGGACAGGGACAACATTCAGAGATGTTCAAATCAATTGCAGCATTTAAGGTAACTTAGTCTATTTTACTCCCATAATGACAGCACAATGTCTGTAGTTGTGGAAGATGATTGTGACTGACTAAATGTTTACATAACTAAATGACGTAAAAATAATGTTTGATGAATTTATGTAAGCCGATATGAAGAGTGGCCCCGATTTATTCATAAACGCTCTTTAGTCAACTTATATCGCGCATAAATATTTACCAAGAGGTATAAAACCATTAAACTGACACATTATTGAATGAGGTTTCACACATAAATTGGGGCGTATTAAGGCAAAGTGTCGCGCAATTATTATAAAGAACTGATATTCTGTAATACATGCCTTATATACATATTAGACATATATAGATATACTTGTACACACCATTCATGCTGACGAACGTACGAAGAAATTAGTCTCCTTCAGAAATCACTCCGTGGACACCTCCATGTTGAAAAGCCGGCTTAACATCCTGGTGCCACACACATTCGCTTCCCCCGAACAACATAAACATCGCAAACAGTTTCCGCAAGCCCCGACTCTATACATCCTTCTTTACAGTTAATACGTGTTTTGGGGTATTGAATTCTTTCATATATTCCTCTTAAATTGATGTGTCGTAAATGTATTTTGGCGCCTATATTTGCAAAAGATATATTAAGTGTACGTTTCCTCTTGCTGTGGAGGCAAAATGGGAGCAAATGTGCACTAGACTTTGTTAAAACTAACATGTTTAAACAAACGTGTGGCAAATAAAACCTAATAAAAAGGTTAAATGTGTTTAACTTTATGTTTTAAGTATCAATTAGGTCTAATTAAGATGCGCGTGCGCTATACAACCCTGCCGCCTGGTGGTGACAAACGCCTTCCTAACAAATACAGACTCCGCTTTTATTTGACAGGCACTGAGGGAGCCTGAAAAAGTTGTGTTGCAAGTTTCAAACGGCACTACTCTGGTACACAGTACACTACATATAAGTACTGTTTACTGAGTCACAGTGACTGAGGCAATAAGTGTTAGAGTTAGTTAAAATTATGGAACCTTTGACATTATCTCAGCATGGTGCTTAGATGGCGTCAAGGTAGCCATATTGAGGTCTAGGACTTCCGGGGGACGCTTTCATTCCTTCAACTAGCGATGTGTTTGTTTTTTACTAAGTTATTTTATTCAATTTTATCATTGTAATTGTAGTTATTCCACACTACATTTACACGTGCACGTGATTTAGGAATTGAATTGTAATGCTTTGTGTGGTTTAATAAACAATAGCGCTTTATTTACAGGAAAACTTTACCCGTTTCCGGTGTTGTTGTTGCTAACCCTGGCAGTTTGACAGTCCCCAGTGTGTGACTTCTGACACTCCTCTCTCAGCATGGAAAACCCACCTCAGTTCAGGCTGTACCCCTAGAAAAACTTCAAGCTACTTAAACTTCGGATTATGGATTCCTCTACAAACAGTTTGGGTGAGTAAAGCGACGAAAACGTCTTTTGTGTTTTAGTGTTTTAACTGACAGCATTAGCATTGTGGAAAGTTGACTGACTGTGAGCTCGGATGTGCTGTTCATGTCGTTAAGGAGGGAACACTTTACCAAACTACTTTTAAAAATTGGCAGTAATTGTATTATTTTTCGGCAAACGCACATACATCGGACAGAATCATTTGTAGCATTTTATAAAATTGTAAAATGTTCTGCTTCATTCGGCATACTGTAAATTTTTCTTTAATCCGTACATCTTTAAAAAGACAGCTTTTAATTTGATAAACTTTTATGCGTCGTAGTTGCCGCCGCATTCCTCGCTACATTTTAGTAGAAGAGGATAGTGGGAAAACAGGCGGGCTCCTACAAAATGTTGACATATTAAGGACATTTTCTGATTCTTGTGGCTTCTCGGACAAAACCGAATTAAATAATTTCACATGAACATTTCCCACTGTCTTACGGTTTATTCGGCTGTAAATGTAAACTCATTTTTTAAATAGTGAAAAAATGAGGGCACTTGATTTAGAGCTGCAAGCTCTGTTGCGAAATGACAGGACCGCTGTGTAAGTGTGTAGGTGTGCAGGACCTGTCGCATATCCTGAAGTGTTAGTAAACCACTAACGTTATAGTTTTCTATCGCTAGATAGTTTCGGTTTTTAGCGCGTGATACTTGTCTAACGTTTGCCTCGTTTTCAAACAGCTTTTTATTTTGGCACGCAGGGTCAAATCAAATTCGAGGCGTGTGGTTTTACTTTTTTTTCTGTGTTTCTTCATCCCTCGGTTGTGACTAATGTGAACAGACAGCAGAGTTTGTTACTTCATGAAACATTCCGTTGTATTAAAATGTTAAAAGGAACGTTTTTTTAATGATGTTTTGAATTGCTGATAGCTGAGGTCCTGGCTGTATGTTTCCAACTGCCGCATTGACAGACCACCAGCAGAGCTGTCAGGAGATCAGAGAGAACTCTGCTGTCTGGTTAAAAATACAAAAAAGGTCTAATGCTTTACACCATTTATGTCTGTCCGTGCCTATGCACAAGCAGTTTCTCCTAAATTAAACAGAAAAATGAGTGTACACATCTTGCTCTCCAAGTCAAGTTGCATTTTGCAGGCAAGCAACAATCCTGAGTGTTTCAAAAGCTCTGCCCACAATGCTGACAGTTTAACAGGAGCTATATAACGCTGTTGCACAATACTGCTTTTGTTGCACATCTGTAGGCCATGCTGTCCCACCTTGTGTGCTGATGTTGTGTTTACTTGCCTTGTAAAATGGTGGGGCGGCAAGGCACTGGGGAACAGTAAATATCACATGGGGACGCCCGCCAGCATCTGTGGGCAAGGCTGCTGTTGCTCAGTGCTGGAAAGTGCAGCGCGGAGGCTTCCACTCTTCTCAATGAAGGTCTCTGTCTTTAATGCTAATTATCTTGCACTAATGAAGAAGATTTAATAACTCTGAAAAGCTGATTCTGGCGTGCTGTGTTACACATCTGTCTGTGTCTCACTGTCAGCTGACTGGCTTGCATCATATCATGGGTCAGATGATGTGAACAACTCACTGTTAGGTTTAGTGATGCACTGATAACAAGCAGATACCAAATATTTTGATCCTCCCCTATTGTCAAATATGTAAGTTATGCAGTTTGGTTAGAGTCTTTCTACGGTTGCAGGGACAAAAGGTCAACGTAAGAAGACGCATCCATGTCAAGGAAGCATTATCGTAGGCCTGGGTGATAAGTCACAGTGTTTATATTTATACGATATCGATGCAGTATCACAATATTTTAAAAGTATGCAAAATAACATATAAAAACAGTTGTTGTTTAAGGCAGTGACATGTTTTGGGGTTACAATTCAATATATTGCAATACTGTAAGCAAGGCGATATATCAGGATTTATTTGAATCTAATTTTAGGAAAACTGTCCACAATATGTATACAGTCAGAGCTGGCATGGGATGATTTTAATGAAATTTAATGTCACGATGACCTTGGCCAAAATAATTGTGATGATATTATCACAATAATCATGAAAATATATGTAATACTTTTAAAATGGCACTAAAACATACTGGAAGAGCTTTACATTTAATTAAGAAACACATATTTATTGCATCACAGATAGGGACCTCATCTCCCTGCTCTTTATTTTCAATCTTTTACTATTTCCACACATCCTGTGGTTTTTTGTTGTTGTGGGGATTCAATGGGCAAGCCAAGCCTTCAGCCATGGTGACAGGATTGGGATTTTGGAACGGCTGGAAAGATGTGTGCTCCCCCGTCCCCTTACTGCTGGACAGGAGCAACACGAGCACAGCCGATGGCTCATGAGATTGCCAGTGTCTGTTCAGTGTGTGTGTCCTCGGATGCTCTGCTCAGGTTAGCCATTCTAATAGTAGCACTCTTTTCTTCATCTGTGACCCACATACCTAAATATCTGTATACCAAACAAACAGGAAGCTCAAATTCATCGCATCCTGTGAGATCTTTCCTAGAAAAGAACTACATCCACCAGACACTGAAGCTGCGTCCCAGTTGCACGCTAAAATGTATGCATCTCGCTCGTTCTTTCAAAATGCCAGCATGCACACTAAAATCTCTTGATTCCAAACCGTGGTGTTGATGGACAGAAATGGAGTCGCTGCTCACAGCTGAGAAAACAAACCGTGCTTTTGTGGGTGGACAAATCTTCTGGTCACAGCTTACGAAACAAAAAACAAAGAAGGTGAATCTTTGCCAAACACAGTTTTGAAAACAAAATACCGGTTGATGCTTTTACAAAACAATTAACCCCTTGCATACAGCCAAAAACTGTATACATGAGTAGTGTCCTAGCACTATAATACATAGTTTACAGTATGTCCTGATAGTAATTGTCAGTGTTGTGTTTTTTTTACAGTTACAAGAAACCAGTTCATGTTTTTGTACTTAAAATGAAATTATGCAACACCTTGTTTGAAATACAGAAGGTTCTGAAGAAGGAGCTTGAACTCGACCCGGTTTCCCTCCTTCTGGGTCTTCCCAGTGATCGTGTAACTCAAATTATGCAACGCATAAATGTCAATCAAACTGCAACTTTGGAATTCCACTGCCAACTAAAGATTCAGTATTTATTTTTTACCACCATCTGCAACTTATCAGATTGTTTTGCAGCTATGAGTAGCTTGTTTCCTTTGTGCACTGCATTGTGGGACAACGGAGTCCATCAACAGCTCATTCAATCAAGTAGATTTAGTATGCATATACTTCTACTTTAAGCGTAATTTCAGTGTATTACAACTTTAATTACAGCCTGTCTGATTGTCAGACTTGCCCATTTTTCTTGTTAGACTGTTGTAGGGATGTCTTTGTGTTCCCAGATCTCAGTATTAACTTTTAACTGTGTGCATTATTCACCATTATCCAACTTATAGTAAAGATCACGAAGAAACGTTGCCCTTCTTTCAGTGTGAATAACACATTAGGGATATAGTAGCAGTTGTGAAGAGATCAGCAGGAAGTTGCATCAGCAGATGGCAGCTATTTGAGTGTTTTTCCCAGAATGTTGTAATAGTGCTTCTTTTCAGAAGAGCAGGCATGCTGTTTTGCTCGAGTCTGGAGGTGGACAGTCAGTTTCTGTCTCTCAGGGCTGGGTATTAAATTAAATGTGTATGTAGCGGTCCCCCTCCAGCCAAACATGTTCTCCCTGTTCCTACAGTGTGATGTCTGAATGGTGTCTGTGCAGAGTCTGACACTGGAAGGATGTTTTCACATTCAT